ACGACGGCTCCCAGGCTGCGGGAAAGAGAGAGCTGGCCGGGAGCAGCTGCAGCCCATCCCAGCAGCCAGCCCCTCCCCAACAGCTCCAGACTCCGCGTTTCAGCCAGAGCCAAGATTCAAGAGAAGTATTAAAAACTTGCCACCAGTGTCTCCTCCCCGCCGAGATCAGCTCAAGGCTCCTTCCTCTCTTCTGTCCAGCGAGCCAGCTCACCTCAGCTGCCCTCCGCCAAGCCCGCTTCCCCCGCCGTCCCTGCCGTGTTTGAGTCACCTGCTGAGTAGCACAGCACACTTGCGGGAAACTCCCTCTGCCCTCTCTCCCCCCTTTGGCCCTTCCCCCCTGACGAAACATGAGGCTTGCACAATCGTGCAACTCCGTTTCCTCCTTTCCAGCAATCTCTGCGCCGGAGGAGTCGAGCGGCTTGTCTGTTCACGCAGGAAATTGTCCATGACACCACTGGCCCGGTCCGGCAAGGGAAGCAGGATGGGGCGGATCACGTCACCTTTTGGCTGCTGAGTTTCAGTAAAAGGGGGGGTAAGAAATAAGGCAGGAGGAAAAGCTGCATCTCACAAGGACCTGGTTAGTGGTCCAGAGGCCAGAACTCTCCAGAAAGATCAGCCCCTTGCTGGCCTGGCCTGCGCGAGACCAAGCTGGTGGACAAGGAAAACGGGTGCAATTCCTGGGGTGGGGGTGGCAAAGATGGATTTTAAGCTGCCCCAGTTTTTGAGCTTCTAGACCCTGGGTCCGTTTCCAGGTTCAATTGGAGCATCCCTTGGGCTGCTGTGCTGTACACCAGTGGCCCCTGGCCCCAACCCAGCAACAGCAGAAAATCAGCAAGACACAAGGATGCTTGGAGCCAGGAGGGAGGTGACAGGGGGATGCAGCCCCACAACTTCTCCTGCACAGCTAGAGAGACCCTCCATCTAGTGCTGCTTTGCTCTTGGGCACCAAGGGGGAGATGTGAGCATGGCTTACAGCGGGTGGGTTCACGTGAGCTCTGAGGCCCAGGCCAAAACCATACGCCCAGATTCCGACCCCTACTCCTGTTGGGTAGCACCCGGGAAGTCAGCAGCCTGTTTGCGGGGGAAGCGATAGCCCCGCCCGAGCACAGACCTAGAGCGCTCTGGAGCGGGTGCGCGGGGCAGCTGGCACAGGACATGGGATGCGCATTTGCAGACACTGTCCCAGTCCTGCATGTTTGTTCCAACCCAATTAAATTTCAGTCCATCAACAGCACCTCCCTCCCTCCCGCATTTCTCTAGCTCCACACAGAGCCCGGGCAGCGTGTCTGGCCTCACAGCTGGGAAAGCAAGAGGGCAAACAGCCCAAAGGCCCACCTTCCCGGCTGGAAAGAGTTCAGCCAGAACGTGCTGCCCAGCAACCGACTTAGGGCCTTACCAAATCCATGGTCCATGTCACAGTGGTAGAAGTGTAAAAACGGTAAATGTGGTGAGCCCCGCCCTTTCAATATGACTGTGCCCGATGTTGTAAATGCAGCAGTCCTGACCCAAAAGGAGCCGTGGGAGGGTCGCAGGATTATCCTAGAAGGGGCTGTGCTCTCTGCTGTCCTGCTGGCAGCCCCCCGCCTGCACCTGCCTGGAGATGTGGGCGCCAGGCCGGGGAACCCCCCTGCAGGGCTCTCCAAGCACCAGCCGGCTTCGATCTCCTGCCTAAGCGCGGATGGGAATGGATGCCGCAGGGCGAGCCTGGGACACGTCGTGAATCATTCCCGGCACCCTCCCCTCCTCC